ACAGAATTATTTTTCTATTATAACCTTATAGATATCAAAAATTGAATTCTTTGGCCTGACTCTTTTGCAGAGTACTTATCTTTCCAAACCCTAAGAAACTAAAACTTATCTAAATTTTGAACATCTTTAAGGTCCAAAATTGTAGAGGATAACCGCTTATTACACTCAGAGTGTAATCACCCTTACTCCTTACTTTCTTTTACCTCAGAAATGTTCCTAACTCTTCATTTATTTGCAGGAAAGTATTCACTTCTGTCTTTGTCTTTTAGTTTTTATACTACAAGCAACTCTAGCTCATGAGAGTGGAATTTTCACTTTATTTCTTTCACTAATATTTTTGGGTTTGGACGCCTTCTGGTTTCTTCATACCGTCTTTTAATTTGGGAGATTTAAAACTGGACATAAAATTCTAACAAAGGCTCTTCAGACTTCATCTTTAGCCAAATCATTATGCATGTAGGGAGGCTGAAATTTAGACTATATTATTTTTCTAGTGGAGCCAGAATTTATGCCTTTATGGTCCATAGACTTTGGTTGCTGTCATGTTGATGGACCAGGAATGACGTTGGTTTGTTTTAGGGTGGGAAGGGTTCCTCACCAGTGTGTCTGCTTTTCCTTTATCAAGCAACTTACAACAGCAGTTGTGAGGATTTTGAGGTAGTCTACAGACACCAGAATATGGTGGGTTTCTCTTAATCTTTGTAATTTTTAAATGTGTGAAATATTCCTCCATCATTCATCATTTTAACCTGTATACATTTCTGGAGGGCCTCCTATGTGTCAGATACGGCCTTCAGCTCAGCCTCTGTGCTGCGTGGGCCAGTAGATCATAGGAGATGATTGCCTGCAATTTCTAAACACTGTGTAAGATTTCCAAACCACTCACAAACCAGAGGGATATGCCTTATATTCCCTTGCCAGGTCTCAAGAAGCAAGGCATCAAGCAGAGATAAAGGACTTTTTGCCCTCCTTTCTCATCTTAGAAGTCCCACTCCCCTTTCAGGTGTAAGCTTAGTATATTTTTCAGTCACTGACAGTGGTTCAGTATTAGAAAGCCGAACAACAATTGAAAATTCATCTCTTCAGTTCAGCAGTTATTGAACTCCTTGGCTGGGCCAGGCACCCTGTGGAAAGTACCGGGGATAAGAGAAGAGTAGGAAGGAACTCTTCTTTAGAAGCTGACATTCTCAGGAGATGGTTTAAACAGACCTTACTACAGCATAATATTAATCACACTGTAAGAGATACGTTTGCAATGAAAGAAGGACTGGAGAGGACAAAATGTTTAATTCTAGGTGAAAGGGAAGATTCAGCAATATTCTATCTTTGTTTCTTCCCTAAAGAACATAAAATACATGGAAGGGATATTTATATTTTTGCCTCATCCATTTTACCATACTAACATGTTTTTGTCATTCCTCACCTTCCCCAAAGGAGTACTGAAGTTTCATTCTGAAGAGGAGTAGACCTGAGGTTTGAGGAGCCGTATATGTATACATGTAGCAAATCCAGTACAAGATTTCCGTTCTTGCACTGTACAAGCGTTTGGAAGCAGAGACTAATATGTAGGCATTAGGATTTATTTTATTCCTTTCCCTAGTGATTATGTTGACAGTGAACTATCTTTGTCTGAGTACTCCGGCAATATAGTTGTAGGCGCCATAAAACTGCATAGATGGATGGCTACCAGTTCAATTAAGAGTTCTTAACCTAGCCTCGTACATGCAAACCCTGTCTATTTTAGGTTTAAATTTCTGCTCATAAATTTTTTAAAAACCCAAAGAAACATTGCTTTTCAAGGTTAGGTTGAAGTCTAAGTTTCCTTAAACAAAAAGCAAATCCTTAGATAGGAAAAAAAAATTGATAACCCTAATGTACTTCCTTATAAGAGCATTTCCAACCCCATCCTTTAAACACAGTGTGAGTAAATACTCTCTTCATTGTAATATACAAATCTTCTGGCTTTCAACCAGTAAGCAAGAGAAACTCACTGGTATGGGAGACTCGGATACAAGAAGAACATGCAGTTCTATGCAGTTGGGTTTGTTTTCTTAGGTTCCTAATTATTTAAGGTGGTAGAAATCGATCAATCACGTGATATTTGTCCAAAAGAGTAAGACACAGTTACCTTGGCTTCTGACAGGTGTCTATGGAGTATATAAAGGAGAAAAGTAAATTAATTGTTAACCTTCTTGATAGTGTTTTAATGCAAATGTTTGAGAAAGAGATCTTTCATTTGTATCAATTATGCATGGGTAGAAATTAATTTGTAATTCTGGTCACCTGGTTGGCTCCACACTTAACAGCATCAGTGACCTTTTGCAATACCGGAAAGAGTGTCCATGCATCCTCAGCAGAGAATAGCACTAAGACTGGGTAGTTTTCCTCCTCCTTGGCTGAAAAAGAAAATGGTATTGAACTGCCCAGGGTAGAAAATAATTATTGAAGTTTTGAGATCATGTACATTTTCATGTAGATGTTTGGCTTTGCCTGCCCCTTACCTGGCAGGATGGTGCATTTTAGTATGCAGTCCTCAGATGGATAGCAGTGTCCCCAGCTTTGGAATAAAACTAGAAAAAATAAATTCCGTTTTCAGTTTGGCTAGATGCCTTCTCCAGTGTTTGTATCTGAGCTTTCACGAGAACGCCGCGGCCCCTTGCAGACCAACTCTGAGCATTTTCTTGACACTCACTCTTTTGCTGTTGGTTTGCTTATTTTTCTGTGGCTTGGAATTTTAAACTTTCTTTCAACATCCCTAATATTCATCTTTTATTGCTGTTCATGTTTTCTATTATGCTATATTTCTGTAAAGGTAGGTGGCAAACCAAATATAAACAAAAAGTGAAAAGAAGAAAGAAGTCCACTTTCAGATTATATATTAAAAAAAAATTTAGCATCTTTCTTTATCCCTTTTTGCCTTAATATTAATGGATAAATATCAGAAGTGTAATTGGCTATTGTATATCTAATAATTGAGATAAAACTATTTTCCATTTATTCATAGAGAAGTGATTAATTATAAAGATATTATACGTAGAAGTAGTACATGGATAGAGATGTATGTTTGCTAGTATTATTCCAAAGAAAATGTTATGTTTGGCTGAATTTTATGTATCTGTTTCAGGACATGATCAAGAATTTTAATTTTCCCTAAAACAAAATTAGATATTTTGCTTTCATTTTAGTTATAGAAATTAATGGTTTAGGATTGTCCAGAACAAAAACAATGGAGGTATGTCTTTCTCCTAAAACATACTGAATTACTACTCAAAATATTTAATGTGTAATTTCTAATGGTAAAATTATAGGCTTGTTCCCTAGAAGAAAAAGAAGGTAGTCATGCTGTATTTTTAAATTGTTTGTTATATCTATAATATTAATTTATGTAGTTAAAAATTTAAATATGGATCAATGTAAATTTGTTTGCATTTCTAATTTTTAGTCCAGGTTTTGTATTTTTGTAGTTTATTCTGAAGGATTTCTCTAAAGGTTTTTGGCATGTAGTAATACATTTTGTTTGTGTCTTCTCTGCGGCAATTGTTACAGAACGATAAAAGCTGTCACTTTGCCAGACTCAAATAAAAATTCACTTTTTAGCATCTTCTGTGATTTAAACCTTTGAATCAACATAGAATTTTTGCTGTAGTCACCAGGTTAAGATTATCTGAAAATTTAAAAATAGATCTTTTCACTATAGCACTTATAATTAAAATCTTCGTTTGCTTAAAAGCAGGGAGTCTTTTAAAGTAATAAATTAGCATTCCTAGACCTAAGGTCACTAGTAGTGCCACTTCTTTCTGCAGCATCTCCAAGAAAGAGAGCGGTGATGCTATAACTCAGTTGCTAGAGAAGTAATATTTTCTGTTTAATCACAGTTAAGCATCATGACCTTTTGACCTTACATTAAACTTGCAGAAATGTGGTCAAATTTCAGACAACTAATTCTAAACCTGTGAAGTCAAGGTGAAGTTAGGATTCAAGCTCTCCACAGATACAGAGATTTTGTTGAAAAACATTTTTTTTGTTTGCTATTAAACAATGTTGTAAACGACTTCAAGTCTCAGACAACACTTTCTTTTTATATCAAAAACTTTCCACTTGAAACATGTTGCCTGTTTTTTCTCTCCTCTCCCCCAAAAATGTACCATAAATATGCTTGTTTCTAATTTTGTGAAATTCTTTTGATCTAAGTTAATTTTTATCTAATTTAAAAATTAAGTTACTTTGATTTTTAATTATTTCATTTAGAAATTAAGTTAATCGAATTCCTTTTTTAGTTTGAAAGTATGATGATATTTTTTAAATTAAAAAATGTTTAATTCTATAAAGGTGTACAAAAATCTGTTTTTGCAAACACATCCTTGTAGGATCTCCCAAATGCATCAGTACAAGAAAAAAATAATTCTTATAAAGTAGGGGAAACTTGTACCTTCGGAAAGACTTCTTTGAGTTAAGCAGTTATTTCAAGAAAATGTGATGGAATATTAGGACTCTAGTATTTAATGGTGTTAGTCTGCGTAGTCTGTTGCTGGAATGTAGAGCAAAATATCAACAGAACTTGTTACTGTTGTTTGGGTTGCTTTTATATACCAGCTTCAAAATATGTTTTGACACTTTATTATGTTCTGAATCAAGCTTCAGATGTGTGTAATGAAGGATGAAGTCTTTATCAGACTCGAGTGTATGAATAGTGGAGAAGAGCAGTTTGGAGATGGTCTAAGAGAATGGTTGCTGAAGAGCTTCAAGTTGTGATCTGGCAAAAGCCAGTGCCACTGTAGGTGTCCGCAAACCGGAGCGTCCTCTCTAAAGGCACAAGTTGCTGCTGCGTTTCCCTGTCTTTCTTTTCTCTTTCCGTCCTTTCTTTTTTTCATGTCTCATGTCATTTCTGTAACGTTCCCATTCTTAGTTTATAGGTTGAACCTTTTGAGAAAGTCTGGCACCTCTGATCCACTTTCCCTTGCAGACCCTGTAATTTTTGGCTGTATTTTTATGTTTTTCAGATTCAAGTCAATCTGAAAGTCCCAGCCAGCCAAGTGACGCTGACATTAAGGACCAGCCAGAAAATGGTAAGTTTAGCTTGGGACTCTAGCTGCTGCTTTCAGAGTCCACAGCAGCCAGCAGGCCGACTAAGTGTGAGGATTTGGGGGCCTACCCTATAAGTAGCCCACGGTAGGAACAACTCCAGAGACTCGGAAAAACTTAAGTAGATTACTTTTAACAGGGCAACTTCTTGTTCTGTGGATCACCCCAGCAGCCTCAGGACCCCTGGCCTGAAACACTATTAGGGTGCCCATGAGAACCTGAATTCCCAAGAAAGTTGATTACCCAATTAAACTATGAGAAGTGGGGTTAATTTACCAAATCAGATTTTTTTTAATAGCGTTAAGTGAGGAGTCATGGCTTTTTCATTTCATTTTAGTTCTTTAATGTGGCAAATGCCCCGTGATCATCTTCACTAGTGATTTAAGATCATTCATTCACAAGCAGTTTTAAGCCTTTTGCGAGCTCAACACTTTGCCAATTCCTATAAGAAAAAAAAAAAATCTATGCTTTGAAGAATTTTTCTACTTTAAATTGTCTAAAATAAAATAGTGAGGATACAGGACAGCATTAAATTCCACAGCTGCATAAATATCTAAATTTTCTGTTGCAGATGCTTTATTAAAATAGAACACACATTATATGTGAATATCATAGTATCTGGTAAAATGTGGAACTTGTGACAGGCACTACAAGTATGAAAAAGATTATCATGGGTTGGAATTTTATATTGAATAAAACTATCAGTTTCAATAAAAGCAGAGACATGAACTAGCAGTACCTAGTATACCAAACATTGTATTAGATACTTTCGCAGACACCATCTCATAAAATTCAAAAATCTTCTTCTTTGCTGATAGCACTGAGGACTCTGGTGGAATGCTTTACCTTGAAGGGCCTCTGGGGAGAATATGCCACTGTGATTAAAAGCTCAGGCTGTGGGCTGGGTGTGGTGGCTCACACCTGTAATCCCAGCACTTTGGGAGGCTGAGCTGGGCAGATCACAAGGTCAGGAGTTCAAGACCAGCCTGGCCAACATGGTGAAGCACTGTCTCTACTAAAAATAGAAAAATTAGCCGTGCGTGGTGGCACATGCCTGTAATCCCAGCTACTTGGGAGGCTTAGGCAGGAGAATTGCTTGAACCTGGGAGGTGGAGGTTGCAGTGAGCCGAGATTGCACCATTGCACTCCAGCTCTGGGCAACAGAGCAGGACTCCATCTCCGGGTTGCGGGGGGAAGCTCAGGCTGTGACCTGCAGTCAAATTCTGCCTCTGCTATTTCTTCTTACCTATGTGATACTGAATAGGTTATTTAACCTCTCAGATTTATTCCTCTAAAACAGGGTAATAATATTACCTGCTTGTGGAAGAGTTAAGTAAGATAATATGTGTAATATGCTCATCATAGTATCTCTGATAGAGTTTATGCTTTAAAAATGTCAGCTGTGGTTCATTATGACTTTTATTATTTTTCTTGTCAATATAATTCTACCATACTTTGTTTTTCACCCACTTTGAATGACCCCATTGCTTGAGTCTCTTCCTTTTGTTGTTCTGTACATTGTTCCATGTTGATCTCCATCCAATCTTTGGAAAAGATAGGTAAACGGAATTATGTTGGTATTGTGGGGTGAAGGATCAAGATTACCACATTAGATATCCTATCACTCATTTTTCCGAAGATGTTTCATTTCCTACCCATGAGAAATTTGATTACATTGCTGGCTTCTAGCATTAAATAGGGACTGCCTGGCAATTCCTCTCCTCATCCTGGTATTTTGGTGATATTTTCTTTATCAAAGTTGTCTTTTTAAAGCAGGCAGTAAAAAAAAAAAAAGAGAACTCTGGAGGTTTGTTTTTAGTGTCATATACGCTACATCTTATTTTTTGTTGACATTTTAAAGAGTGGTATTTATAGACTAGTTTCATTCTTTATTTTCCACTTGACTCGCAGGTGATGCTTTCAAAGTTCCACTTTTTTCTACATATTGTATTTGTGCATAATCTCCCTAAAGATGTCTCCAGAGGTATAATTTTATTTTCATCTTCAAAAATGTGTGGACTGTACGGGTGTGTAGTTCGCGTATTTAGGTCTGGCCGCCCCTCTAGCATGCCTGCGATTCATCTGTCTTCATAAAATGGCCAACAAGCTGTTCACATGCAAATATAAATTGAGAGCATGAGAGGCCTGGCATGCCTTTCTGGAGCTGCCTGCAATCCCAATATTGTGTGTTTCCCATTCCAGAAAGCAACCAGGATTGAGCCTGGATTTTTCGGCCAAAGGCAGAGAGATACTAGCCAAGTTCACTTTTAACCTCAGATCACTTGATGCTACCTCAGGATTTACACTGTCATTTTGGGGAAATCGTGTGAGTTCAAAGAAAGAAAGTATTAATATCGAGGAGATAAAGTAATAAATTCCTGTCTTTCAGTTTTCTATTTGTTTCAAAGAAAAAGTAGTAGAAGCTGGTTTATCTTAGCCCTAGTTGAAGAATTATCAGCCTACTAAATTTGCTGCCTCTTGTCAGTCTCAGATGAAGTTCGTGGAGGAAAAATGATTTTCCTCTCTTCCTTAAAGACATCTAATCCCAAAAGGAATAAATGAAGATTCAGGGCTTGGTATTTACACGCATTAGATAAGGTTCCACTCTCTGGTGTTGCGTTGATCAAGAGAATGTTTCCTCTTCTTCATTACCTCAGGATATGAAGATGAATTCCTGAGAGGTTCTTGTGTGTTTTGTTTTTGTTTTGAAAGAGGGAACTCTCATAGGTGTATCAACAAAGCTCTAAGACATTTTGGAAGATGTAACAGACTTGATTCTTCAAATAAAATGGGAACTCTTTACTTCACATAGATGTGTGTGTGTGTGTGTGTGTGTGTGTGTGTGTATGTTTGTATATGGGAAGGAAAATAATTTTTTTTTTACCCTAGCTCTTGAGAAAGGTAATGGGAAACAAATGGTATTTCCCTACTAAACCATGGAGAATGAATAGACAAATGGTAATACACTGTTTCATCCCAAATCGTAAACTGGGCCATGTAACTTTACCTAAAGTGGATGCAGCTGTTTCTTCCCTGGCCAACTAGTCTGTTTTTTTCTGTGGAATTTTTGCTTTCTTTTCTTGTACTCCCTTAAGACTCAACTGTAAAAGAAAACAAATCTTTGCCCAATTAGAGCATTAGATGGGAATTTTGAAGGAATTATCTGAAGCCCAGAGATAAAATATCAGAGTCTCTGAAACTCAAAATTGGTATAGTATAATGGGTAAAAACTCTGCTTCTGGAGTCAAACAGACCTGAGTTCAAATTAAGTAATAGCTGAGCGACTGAGTAAGGTACATGCCAATCTCAGCTTTCTTACCAATAAAATAGAAATACCAAAAGGAGGCCAGGTGCAATGGCTTACACCTATAATCCCAGTACTCTGGGAGGTCGAGGTGGGTGGATCACTTGAGGTCAGGAGTTCGAAACCAGCGTGGCCAACATGGTGCCTATCTCTACTAAAAATACAAAAATTAGCCAGGCATAGTGGCACATGCCTGTAATCCCACTACTCGGGAGGCTGAGGCAAGAGACTGTCTTGAATCCAGGCAGCAGAGGTTGCAGTGAGCCAAGATGGTGCCACTTCATCCAGCCTGGGTGACAGAGCAGGACTCCATCTCAAAAAAAGAAAAGAAAAGAAATACTAAAAGGACGTATCTCATGAGTGTTAAACTGAGAATATGCATACAAAATAGCATTCTGCCTGGTTCACAGTAAGGACTCAAAGGAAGGTTATCATTACTACCTTCCAGTTAAAGCTTGTCATATTTACAACGAGTACGTATATTCAAGAGGTCCAAAGCTGGGAGCCTTCGAGTGGAAGGGAATGGCGTCAGAAATATACCAAGACTTTTAGAGACATCTTTTGTGGGTACTTACCCTGCTCTGAAATGTCAGACATAGGTTTCCCAAATCCCCACAGTCCCCATGGTGCCACGTCTGTTTTCCCATTTTGTTTTATCCTGACAGTCTGTTCATCTCCCATGAGTTTGAGAACCAGGGAATTGCAAAAAGGATTCAGAGTTGCTGGAACCTTCAGAATGAGTGCTCAAGAAGGTGATTCTGGAAAGAAGAGACTCCTCCTAGATGTCTTTAATTTTAGCTGAGTTTTTCCTTGGCACAAACCAAATAGAATCTGGCTTATTAAAAACTATAAGCTGATTAAGGGTAGGATTTATGACAAATTCCTTTTTAAAAAGATCCTTCACAGTACCTAGATCTGTGCCTTGAACTTAGTGGGCACCTAGTACTTATTTGCTTAATGAATAAAATTCCTAAGTAGATGAATATATTGTCATTACTTCCAAATATTTTTGGAGTATCTGTTCACTGTTGATTTACCTAGAGATTTTAAGAAAAAAAAAAAACGAAACAAAACGCTCTGGGGAAGCTGAAAACCTAATTTGGGTATGGGGGAAGGCTGTGCTCAGACACATGGACAGAGATTAACAGATGTAACTAGTAGGTCTAGGAAACCAAAACTGAGGGCTCGGTACTAATGGGAATAGGACATCAAGTTGTCCCTCTCCACTTCCTGCCCGTCCCCACCCCCACTTCAATGAGCAGGTGTGGTCAGATGTTTGAAATATCACCATTTCAGTTTATGCATGATGCTTGATTACCATAGGGAATGCAGTTCAGACAAAGTTCCCAGCTCTGATTGGTATCTTTTAATCCTTTGGTATATCACTGAATCTGGATTTTCCAGAGCTCCTGAAGGTTTTAAGCCTCATTTGTTGTACTTTTGACTTAGAACATCTATTTAAACAACCTTTGTGAACTCCCCTGATATACTCTGGTTACTTTAAACATATTTATGGGACAGAGCATTTGAAGTGCCTGCCTGATATTTACAGGGCCTGTGAACGGTCCTCCGAGCTTGCATTCTGTGGTGCATCAGGTCAGTCATTAATGAGGGTAAAGCTCATGTGATAGCCTTCTTATTTAATTCAAGGCACGCTTCTGTAGGGCTGCACTGAGTCAG